TTTAAATAAATTCCAATATCTAATAACTTAATTAAATAAGACAGAATTAAAATTTTATTTTGAAAAAATAATTTATTGATATTTATCTGAGATACAAATCTTTTTGTACCAACTCATATATATATATATCTATATTTATTTATATTATATCTGATAATAATTTTATAAGTAATCAATTCTAATAGCTTTTACTAATCTTATTAATCTTGTTTAATAATAACAAATACTTATAATTATTTTTGAAAATAATAATAGTAATAATAATAATAATAATTAATAAGATAATAATAATTATTCTATACTAAAGATTCTTTTTAAGATTCTTATATATAAAAGATAATTATATGAAAATATTAATATCTGAATTCTATAAATAACTAGAATACTTATTACTTAAGAAATATAAGAAGAATAAACTTGAATTTTATATTAAAACTAATTTAAAAATATTACTCTTTATTGATATCTAAATAAAGTATATATTATTAAAGATTAATTTATTTTTAAAAACTAAAATAGCTTTCTTAATGAAGTTTATAATATATTTTAATTATTTAATTATTAATAATATCTTTATTAATAATTTATCAATTTTATTAAACTGATATTATATAAAAATATAGAATTAAATTTAAAAATTTTATTAATCAAATAAAAAAAAATAGGAGAATTAATCAAGTTATATATTTTACTACTGAACTCAAGACTATTATAAAAATAAAAGTTATATATTAAATATTAAAAACTTTTGATATTATCTGAAAACTATTATTTATTATATTATTATTATATTTAATTTAGATCATTTACTTAAAAATAATAGTAATAATTATAATTAGAAATATACAAGAAATTATAATTCATCTTTTTATAATAATAATATTTTAATAAAACTGAATTATATAAAAAATTCTATTAAATAATAATATTAATTATAATTATTATAATTATGATAAATTGAATTATTTTACAAAAGATTGCTAGTTAAAAGAAAAAGTCAAGATAAATAATATTAAAGATAACTCTAGTATAATAAGTATTATATAAAAGAATAATACTAAGTTTGTTTACTTGGAAGATAATTATAAAAAACTCTTGAAATTTAATAATTAGATGAATGAAAAGTCTGTCTAAATCTTGCTTAATAGTGAAGTATCTTATAATTTTATTAATAAAATCTATATTCAGAAAAATTAATTATAAATTTATATCATAAATTCTATCACTATTAAACTTGTTGATAATTACAAGAAAGAAGTAAATCTATCTGTTAATATCAATAAATTAAAACTGGATACTTATAATATATCTGATATTAATATATAAATTCTTAATATTTAATATTATGATCTTATACTTAGTAAATTATAACTTTATCATATCAATTTTATCATTAATTGACATAGTAATTTCATGATATTTAACTATGTAACAAAGTAATTAAGATTATTATTAATAAAGAGAAACTTATATCAAGTTGTAATTCATTATATGTATCTTGTTAATAATTTGCAGAACTTCTATCCAATGCTGAATTATTTATAACCTGTACTATAATAAAGAATGTATATCAAGAAGTATTAACTTTTCATGAAATCATCCAGTTAATTAAGAAATTTACTAATATCTTTTCTAAGTCTTTATTTGATAAATTACTACTAAAATACACTATTAATTATACTATCAATTTGATATCTGATTCTGAATTACTATCTTATCTCATGTATTGCTATTTGATTGGTCTATCCTCTCACGACTAGGATAATCTATAAAAATTTACATTTTATTTGAAAGTTCCTACAAAGTTCCTTACATAAAATAATAAATAATCGCACAATGAATAATAGCTATAATAAAATAATCCCACAATGGATAATAGCTATAATTCTGCGAAGACTAAAAACTTTTCATAAAACTTTTATACTATTTTAAATTTTTTAAGCACTTTTACAATGAGATATTACGATTTTCGGAAAAGATAAGATCGCGAAGACGAGAAACCAGATAAAAAAAGTGGTGCAAAATATTAAATCTTGTTTCGAAGTTTAATATAATTATAATTTATGATTAGAAAAGCATTGGGAGAAGGATGTTTCTGGGGCAATTTGCAGCAATAAAAAGAGGTGATTAATTAAAATCCTGGATTCTTGCAATTTTATTTTAATAATATATTGAATGTCGACTGTAAAATCTTTGTTAATGAACAATCCAATTGAATTATGTTTTTAATAATTAATTTACTGATAGAATGATAGTATTATTAATGGACATACATTTAGTAATAGTAAATACATGTACCGCGAAAAAATCCTTCGGATTATGTGATTTTTAAGGGTAAAACCAATCAAAACAAACGTTAATTTTTGAAAAATAGCTTGTATCTCGTAATTGCGAAATCTTACCATTAAGATTTTCTTGTGGAATATTCTTGACTTCGTGTCTAACTAACCTCACCATAAATGCTATCAATATTTCTTATCTTGCTTTACCTCTTAAAAAATCACATGAAATATGATTGCAGCAAAAGTAGACACAATAGCAATAATAATATTATATTGTCACGCAGCAGACTGTACCGTATAATCTAATTGAATAACACTCGATTGTGTTTTTATTTTTCCTAATTCAGTTTTATTTCGTAATAGAACTTGGATTTCTAAAATAGATGATTTAAAAATGGATCGGTATCGCACTCAATTCAGAAGTTAGGTTGACTAAAGAATTGTATGTTATATGATTTGTATTTTGTGTCGGATATTCTTTTAATTGCATTATTAAATTTCGCTTCTTTAAAATTATTATTTTTGAGCTTTTCCTTGATTGCACAATCTCCAACACAGGAGCTCCACTTCATTCGGTCTAGCTCTTGACCCTTGTTGCATCTATCCTAAACTCAATATCAAAATAATAATTTTGAGTTATCTGATTAATAAGAAAGTCAAATTTATTAAAATGATGGATGCGAACTCTAATAAACTTAAAGTATATTTTTTGATTATTATTGAAGTGAACATATTAGCTGTGATCGAGAGAAAGTGTGAATATAGAGAGTGTGACTGTGCCTGAATTATCAGTTTGTAAGCGACGATGTTTAGTGGACACAGGAAAATGCCGCGTCTGCGTCCGCAGTACACAGACAAGTCGAACTCAATTCTTGGCACTTAAAATCTAGCTGGAATTAGCAAGTGACGCGTTAACATTATACTAATAGACGCGGACGTCAAAACTCCTGACCATGACAACACTGCCTTGATTTGATTAAATGATAATTACCGAAACTAATTGATAGGATTTTATATTTCCCGAAATAGATCGTTATGTCATATACTGTACATGTACATGTAATTTTGTTGCGATAGTTATTCGCTAATCGTGGATATTGTAACGTTAATACATGTAAAAAAATTTAATATTTGCAAACTACGTATTTAACAGAAAGGCTATTTGCATATAAATTCTTTGCTTTTTAAAGAATAAAAATCTTTTCGTAGGCTTGGTGTTTATTTGATTCTTTATAATTTATTTTGTCCCGGGACACATCTATTAACGATAGATTATTTGTGAAATCCTTTTTTAAACAGATAAAATATTAAAAGCTACAACTTAATACATCAACTAAATAAAAAATGAATTCATTAATTATAAGAAAATCCATCATTCGCCAGCTTATCTAGATCAATGTTATTCGTCTTGATATTAGTCGTAAAATTACCAACACTTAAGCTCATCGTATCATTGTTCTTAGTCGCATTAACGTTCAAATTTCCCTCGCCAACGTTCACACAACCAATGCTATTTCCATTGAATGACCCATTATTTCCGTTTCCGTTGTTATTAAAACTATCGGTCACTATCCTGTTGTTGCATGTGTTGTTGTCTGATTTTCCGATATTTATCTCGTCTATGTGGTTGCCATTGATGTATCCTTTATTATCGTTGCCATTGCCGTTGAAGCTGTTGTTGAAGCTGCTGTTGTTATTGGTATTCAAATTTTTTGTTTCTATAACTGGTCTTGCGAAAGTCATAGAAATTAAAATAACAGTTATAAATGCTAAAATAAAACGAGAAATGAATTTTATATTGTTCATTTTTGTATAGATTTATTTAAGTCTGAAGATAAATTTATTATGATAAAGTTGAGACAAATTTTTATTATATAGTAGTTGAGTCGAGTAATATTATTAGAGTTTAAAGCGAAACGAAGATATCTGTTTTTATTTTTCTTCAAAAACTCGCCTCATTTTATATTAGAGACGCGTCCTATAATATCGGAGTTATTCCTTTTAAAAAAAGGAAACAATAATAAAATGGGTGTGCCAGAATTTCTTTTATTAGGTTGCACATGTATCGCATATATGCATAAACATGGACACTGCATATCGATATATTGCATTCACAATCACATATACATCCATTTTTAGCAATTTAATTATTACAATATATGTTCGAATAGATTCCTATTGAACGTGGCGCGTCATACAGCCAAGCCTCGTTATTTTGACACCCCACCAGTTCATTAAATAAATCATAGCAATGTACAGTGTGTTGCAAAAAAAAACTGGAATTACAAATTCCGTCATTATGTTCAACAGTTGCATTAAATCACATAAAAACTTATCGGTAGCTCTCTTAATTAGACGTTTTACTAAATAAAAAATCAATACAATATACATTCACCGTTATTTTCAATTACAAGTTCACATCGCTGTCTTGTCGAATCTCTAAATTTTTTAGAAATGTTCTGAATTTTGCCCCACTTTTCAACCATATATCATTCCAATTCGCCAAGATTTTTTGGCCTACGTTTTTCTACGTTACTTTTGACAATGGCCCATAGATTTTGATCAGATTTAATTCAGAACTGTTTGATGACCCAAAACTTCGGGAACTTTATGCTGATCTTGCTTCTTGGATGTCGCCATTCCCAAGCGTTGCTTCAACGAAAAATCGAACCATGCTGATAAATGTGAAAGTAAGATAGATCAGTCATATTTCTCGTGTTCAATTAGTTGAAATCCGATCTAATTTGAGCGAGTTACACATATTTTTAATAACATGAAAAATTTTCCAATTTTTATGTGAAATACTGTATATAGCATCACGGAGTTTATTCAAAACTTACATTATTTTGATTGAATGTGTTTGTGTTATTTGATTACAATGTTAACATTTAAATAAATATCGATTTTTGAAAAAGACTCGGATATTATTCAAATTTAAACTTATAGTGAAAAGTATCTGAGGAATATATGAGATTTTATTATTTGAAGATTTCAATGAGGTTTGGCTACATTTTAATTAACTTTAATTGAGAAAAAAAATAATCAAAAGAAGAATGTGAGTATATCAAAGTTTTATAATACTATAGAGAAATTAATATGATAATTACAGTGTGTCAAAAAAAACCAGAAATTTTAATTTTAGTTATATTCAATGAATATTTATTTAATTCATATAAAA